CATGCGTGCTACAGAGGACAGCTTGTCTGTGTACATGCGTGCTACAGTGGACAGCTTGTCTGTGTATATGCGTGCTACAGAGGACAGCTTGTCTGTGTACATGCATGCTACAGTGGACATCTTGTCTGTGTACATGCGTGCTACAGAGAACAGCTTGTCTATGTACATGCGTGCTATAGTGGACAGCTTTGTAGAAGCTGGCTTTCTTCCTACATGTGGGTGCCAGGGATCAAGCTTAGCTCACCAAGCTTGGAGGTGAGTGCCTTTCCTCGTGGACCCAACTTGCTAGCCCTTCCTTATCCTGTGAAGCCTGGTCTCACTGATCCTGGAGCTCACCAATTCAGGCAGGCTGGCCCACAAGCCCAAATGGTCCTGTTTTTGCATCCCCAAGGCTGGAATGAGAAGCATGTGCTTGGCATCTACGTGGCGCTGGGAGACAAACTCAGGTCCTCCGGTATGCACAGCAGCACTTACCAGCTGAGGTGTCCCAGCCCCAGAACCCACATTTAAACAAACTTCTGGTGATCTTACATGTAGTGAGCCGCTTTGTGCCGCACCTTAAAGATGGCGCTGACCTCTGCTCTCCACCCCCCGGGTGGTATGTGCTTTCAGTTGTAAATAACTCCATACATGGCTAAAACTAAAGATCTGGCTTGTTTCTGTGTACCTGGGCCTATCCACATTTCCCACGTGGCTTGCTGGAGTTGGCTACCCAAGGGCTATTTTAGGTGTGGGCTGGCTTTCTCCAGGGTCAGAAGATTATTCAAGGTTTCCTGATTAAACTGCATTGAGAAGAGTCCGGTGTTGTGTTTTCTTTGCTGGCCAAAGCGACACAACACTTACACAAGAAAAATTTAAGAGGCTTCCAATTCAAAAGCTGGTACTACACAAAACAGTTCATCTGCTGAGAGCCAGGCTTTCTCAGAGATCTCTGGTAAAGAACAAGAGGAACCTAGTTTGGTCTTCTCTCAGGGACAGACTTGGCAAGGTCCAATCTGGGGCTTAACAGGGCCTCAAAGGGGTTCCAGTCTCTGTTCCTGGTAACCTGACTTTCCCGAGAGGCTGGAGTTATCAGTCCCAAGGCGGCTGTGCTCAGTCCCTGGCACATCTAAGACATCCTGTGTCCCCTTGTGCAGTGTGCTTGATTAACTTACGACTGACTCTGTCCCATTTTCCCCCTTGCATGCTGTATGTAAGATGTGCTTGCCAGTGTGAACTGTCAGTTTGTGCAGGACCTCCTGACCCCAAACTTTTCCGGCTTCTCCATTTTCTCATTCCCTGCTCACTTCTAAGGAACCTGTCACTGATGGATGACCTTCTGGTTCAGGTCATTCACCCCTCTACATAAGGTACCTTCAGTTTCCCACATCTTTTTCCTGTCTAGCTGCCAATGTAGTTTACTTAGTAGGTGCTTTTTACTACTTGATATTTTATGTTTTGACAGTAGCAAAACAAAAAAACCCAAGGTGCTGGTTAGTTTGTCAATTCGATACCAACTAGAGTGATCTTTGGAGAAAATAAAAAACAAAACCTCAATTAAGGGATTGTCTCCATCAGACTAGCCTCTGGGCTTATCTGTGGAGCATGTTCTTGATTAGTGTGTGGTGCCACCCTTGGGCAGGAGACCCTCAGATGCATGAAAAGTCAAACTGAGCAAACCAATAGAGCAGCCCTCATTTGCGGGCTCTGCATCAGTGCCCGCCTCCAGCTTCCTGCTTGAATTCCTACCCTAACTTCCCCAAATGACTTCATATGAAAGTGAGTCAAATAAACCCTCCCCAGGTGGCTTTGGCCATGGTATTCATCACAGCGACAGCAAACAAATTGGGACACCAAGTAACCTACCTCAAGGATATCTCCTTCTGTGGAATGCCCAAAGAGCAGCTTCTGAGCCTCCACACTCCCTGAAGAATAGATATACACCTTCATTCCAGCCTCTCTCCACCTTCTGACTGCTGGGACCACATCTGCGAAGAACCTGGAGGGAACGCAGCTAATTACAAAGCAGAAACACACCATCGAGCCAGGTGAAAATCAGACGATACGCAGACACCATGCCTCTCTGCCCAGGCATGAATGGTACCTGAGAAGCAGCTCCACGAGACAGAAACTCCTGTGGTTCTAAGAAACAGGTCACTGAATTCCAGGATCACAGATTAGAAGCAACAAGTTTGGTGGAGAGGACAGTATTTGACAACAGAAAAGCACGAAGAGATGAAATAAGAAAGTAATTAATGGGCAGAGACACAGCTCAGATGTAAGAACACTTAGTGTTCTTGCAGAGTTCCCTGGTTCTCTCCCAGCATCCACATGGCGGCTCACAACCGCCTGTAACTCCGTTCCGGGGCATCCAATGCCCTCTTCTGCCCTCCATGGGCAGCAGAAATGTGTGTGATGTACTTACAGACGTAAGTGTGTAAGGCCAAAAACTTACACAAATAAATAATAAAGTTAAGAAAGTGACTGTTTTCATTCTCAAGGAGCTAAAATATAAACACCATGAACAATATTATTACTTAATTAATGCAACTTATACGAGCAGACTCATTTATCTTCACTGTTCTTTGAGAAGCCATGAAAATGCTTTTCTCCCCATTCTACACATATGTAAGGACACACCCTGGAACAGCAATGCTTCCTTTAATAGGCAGATCTTGCTGCAGACACAGACCTCTCATTTAACAAAACAAAATATAAAAAATTCAAAAAACAAAAACAAAAAAAAACCAGGCAGCTGAAAATGGCCTTCAATCTGAGGATTTACATAAATTGACTAAAATCCTTTAAAAAGATCCTCTCAGGTCAGCTGGATGTGGAAAGACATTAAATTCCAGCCCCGAGAAGGCCGATGCAGCAAAATCCCAAGGTGAAGCTTTGCTGGGCTACACTGCAAGCTCAGGCCAGCTTAGCATATACATACAATGAGACCCTATCCTTAATATTTTTACATTGCGTGTGTCTCTGTGTGCATGTACATGCAAGTGCAGACACATACCTGCACACACCAGCACATGCCATAGCACACTTATCAAGGTCAAAGGTTAACCTGAAGAAGTCATTCATCTCCTTCCACAATGTGGATCCAGGGATTGAACTCAGGTTGTCAGCCTTGACAGCAAGCGCCCTTGCTCACTAAGCCATCTCACCGGCCCACAACTGTTACCATTTGTTTTTCAGTCTCAGCAATACAATGCTTGGCAGGAGAACTAGCAGAAATCGCGAAACTGAGACTCTGAGATTATGAAGGTGCTCAAAGAGCAGAGGAGGTAACAGTGCCAAGGACTAACTCAAAGTAACACGATTACACAGGCTTACTTCTCTCTCTTTCAGATTTTTATTATGTCACGTGTTTAAGTGTTTTGCATGCACAATGTATGCATGTGCCCGTGGCGGTCAGAGTGGGCACTGGGTCTCCCAGGACCGGTAACTGTCCAGCCAACTGCTGAGTCCTCTTGTTTCTCTCAGCAGCAAAAAGCATGACTGCTGGAGAAGTGACCCCAGTGCTGTCACGGGTGTCACTGAGTGCCTGCCACACAGTAGCTGTGACCTGGCTAGCCCACAGAAGGCTCAGCAAGGCCAGCTCCCAGCAGCTCCCAACTACACCAGGCTGAATTAAAAAACAGAAGGAAAGTCTTTTACTTCCCACAAAGCCACAGATCTGGGGGACATAGCTTCCAGGGAAAAAGAAAACAACTCATTAGCTACATGAAAGCAATATCAATGTGATCTTTTTTGAGATAGGGTCTCTCTGTCTAACCTTGGTTTGCCTTGCCTAGAACCTGCCTGCCTCTGTAGTGCTATTTTGCTTCTGTTTAACAAATAAGGCTTGCCCGAAGATCAGAGTGCAGTGCTAAGCCACTAGAGGCCAGGGGATGGTAGCATACACCTTTAATCCCAGGACTTGGGGAACAGGGGCAGAGGGATCTCAATTAGTTCAAGGCCACCCTGAGCTACACAAGATTGAATCTGTCTAAAAGAGAAACAGAGGTCACATAAAAGGTGATCCCAGCACTTGGGATCCCATGACTTTAATCCCAGCACTAAGGAGGTGGACACAAGAGTGATATGATTGGGTGGAGAAGAATATAAGACAGGAGAAGACCTGTCTCAGTGCGGTCTGAGGACAGGATTGCCCTATGGTCTGAGCACTGGTAGAGGTAAGAACTCGAGCGGCTGGCCGCTCTGCTTCTCTGATCCTTCAGCTTTTACTCCCTGATAGCTGACTCCAAATACTTATTACTAAGAACAACTAGAAATCGTGCCACATGCCTCTGCCTAAATGCTAGGATTTAAAGGTGTACATTAACATGCCTACCTAGCAACTTCATCTATTTTTACTAACTGTGCAACTTACACGGGAGAAAGAGGAATGGGGAGGGGGGTGGATCTGAGGCCTGGGAAATGTTTTAGCATTAGAGCACATACTCTGCCTTCATGCGGCCAGCTGCGAAAGCCGCCTTCCACATGTGGCCCTGCAGCTGTTTGAGCGCCGTGGTCTTCCGGTCATGAGACATCTGCCAGTACACGTTGTCCACCACGGCCTGGATCATCCGCTGGAGGTCATCCACTGCATTTCCAGACGCCATGGGGATCGGGACAGCGCCATCCAGGTGCGCATCTTCCTCAGCCTTTAAGTCAGAAACAAATCAATCCTGTTCATGTGGACACTTAAAGAGCCTTACACACATATGCTTGCACACACACACACACACCCATGCATGGATGTATTTTAAAAAGATAGGGCAAAACCAGGCAGATCAGTTTTCTCCAGCTATCAATTATCCTAAGAACTGTTAAAAATTATTCTTAAAGGAATGATCTGGCAAACATGGATCACTAGGTAAGAAGCACTTGCCACTAAGCCTGATGACCTGAGTTCAATCTCCGGGGGATCCACATGATCAAAAGGAGAAGTGACTCTCTCCATTTGTGGTCTGACCTCCACAAGTGAACACGGCATATGTGTCTACAGATGTATACACACATGCATGCGCGCGCGCACACACACACACACACACACATATAATTAAAAGAAATGCATATACAAGGACTCTGTAACAATGTATTATCTGAACATGAAATATGTATGTATGGAACATTTTTGGGACAATAAAAAGATGAAGGGGATTATTTCACACTGACCTCACATTATCCAGAAAACTCAGCAAACTCAAATACAGCATGATTCAAAGGATGTTACAATTATTTCTAAACCTAACTTCTCACCATAAATAAAAGACCTGTTTTTTAGAGAGCATTCCACAATCCAGTGTAGGAAAACGGCTGGTGAGGGCCACACACCATGAAGATCTTCGCCACTGAAGTCAGCACACCACGTGTTAGGAAAAAGTACACAGACTAGCTGGAGCGACAGAGTGCAGTCTGCAGCCTGGACCAAGGGCAAATTGGCTGAGAAGTCCGGGCAGAGAGGCACAATGTGAGGACCTGTGAGCCCATTAGGGGGTAGTTCCGTGCCATGAGGTAGGACAGAAGAAAGTGACAAGGTGCTGTCACCTGGTAACATTGGTGAAATTCGATGACTGTACAAAACCCCTTGGACTCCACCAGAAAGGCCCAAGTTTATAAATAGCCTCTGAGAGAAGCAACTCCACAGACGCGCGTTGCTATGACTTGCTTGCTTTATGACACGCTGTGAATCGCTAGGCCGGCAAGGCCCTGCAGCCTCCACCCCCAGCATCCAGGGCGCTGACTGACAGCACTCACAGCGGGGATGTGGAAGAGGAGTGTCCTGACCTGTTTCCTCAGCAGGCTGACATCCTGCTGACACTCCTCCTCGTCCCAGTGTGTCTGCAGGTACTCCTTCACATTCTCTTTGATGTACGGAAATAAGGTGTCCTGGGGAAAAACGTAAAACAGGAAGAAAAAAGAGAATGTTATTCTTTAAATTGTACCATGTGATCTGTGTTTTATAATCTCATCTAACTAACAAATTCAGCAGTGGAAATCTCAATGAAACTTGTTGTTGTGGGTCTCCCAGTGGGACACAAGGAGACTAAGAAACAGGGACACTAGAGCAGGAACTGGCAAGCTGGTCCCGCTCGCATTTATGAAGCTTTATTGAAATTCAGCCACAATCATTTACTTACAGTCTCTGGCTATTTTGGGGCCACAATGGCAGAGCTGAGACCATGCAGCCCAGAAAGACCAAGTTCCCCAGCTATTTACGCAAATCTGCTAGCTTTCAGACTACATTGTTAGACCATAAATTCTGTTTGCTTGCTTTATTTTTGTTTTGTTTTTTATTATTTATTTTTATTTTATGTGTATGGGTGTTGCCCTTTGTACGTATGCCCAGAGGATGCCAGGTGCTCTGGAACTGGAGTTAAGACGTTATGAGCTACCATGTGGAAGCTAGGAACGGAATGTGCTCCTTAGCAAGAGCAGCAGGTGCTCTTAACCACTAACCCTCTCCATCCCGAGGCCAACTCAAAGTGCCATAGTCACGACTCAGATATCTGCTGGACGGTAGGACATGACAATGTAGGAGAGGGAGTAAGGGTCTTTCTTGGTTCAGATTTCTAGAGAGCACTCTACAGCAGACATGCAGCTAGGCGTGAGGCCTTGCACTTGTGAGCACACACTTGGGAGACTGAGATAGGAAGAATAGCTCCAGAGTGAGCTAACCTCAGATATACAGTGAGTGAGTTCCAGGCCAGTATGGCATACAATATGAGACCCTGTCTCAAAAAACTAAAAAACCGAACAGAGTTATATGCAAAGCAATTCACTGACAAATAATATGTCAGTAACTCAAGCACTGAGAATATAATCTCTCATTGATCACAATGTTATTTGGAGCTAGGCTAAAGAGATGGCTCCACAGTTAAGAAGGCTCTTGCAGAGGACCCTGATTTGATTCCCGAATCCACATCGGTCTCACAACCATCTGTAACAAAAGACCCAAGGGACCCCACACCCTCTTCTGTCCTCCTAGAGAACTTGCCAGCATGTAGTGCACAGACATACATGCAAGCAAAACACCCACATAAAAGATTTATTTTTTAAAGTATTGTTTGGTGCAGAGGACTGAACCCAGAGCCCTCAGCCTGCTAAGCAGAAGCTCTACTGATACTTTAGTTAACATGTCTAAACATACATGTATCTTTTCAAATTACATTACGGCACATGTAGCAGCTTCTTTTAAACATCTACTATTATCAAGATATGGTAATGCTTCAGTAGGGAGTAGAGAAGTGGGTTACAAAGAAAAGGCCCAGCCCCCACTGCCAACGAGCTCAAGGAGCTGCAGCGTGCAAATGTTTTCCTGCAGTGCAGTGGGCACCGTGCAGGTTCAGGGTGAGGTGGTGCAGCCACAGTCTTCAAAAGAAATCCAACCTTGAAACAGGTTTGTGCTTGAGTGCAGAACCCATCTGCAGTATATCCATACTGCAGAGATCTTATATTTTAAGTGAGACTCTATATTGAGCTAAATTCAACAAGCCTGGTTAAATTCACTGTTTATTCAAAACCTGCCTTCTTGAGATGGGGCTCACTATTGGCCTAAACTGCCTCACATTTGCAATCCTTACGCCTCAGCCTCCCAGAGTATAGGTATACACCACCATGCCTGGCTAAAGGGTACTTTAATAAATTCTACAAAAATAAAAAATATACAGTTGGTGGGGTATTTTGCTACCTAAGTTTGCTATGTAGTCCAGGTTAGCCTAGAACTCCTGTCCCCTGCCTTGACCTAGTGAGTAACGGTACTATAGCCATAGGCTACCACATCCAGCTCACATTTTGGCCTAGAAAAGAAACTGAAGGAAAATGGTAACAGAACCAGACAAAAGTTCTAAAACTATTAACTCAAAACCCTTGAGTGTTCTGGGAACTTCTATGAAACCTGAAAAGTCAAAGTACCTTCACAGAACACCAAGATGTTGATATTGCCAATGATAAAGAAAACTTTATAGGCAAGTTAGCAGAGTGTCAGTCACCTTCAGACAAGTATTAATAGTTTCTGATAAATTTTATGATGTCACTGCCTCCTCCCTCCCTTTCTTCCTCATAGTGAGAGTATGCAATGGGTTTTCCAGAGGCCACGGATGTCCCACAAACACCAACTACAGATAAGAACCCAGACATCGGGGCTGGAGGGGTTAAGAGTGCTGGCTTACTGTGGTGGCTCACAGCCAGCTCTAACTCCAATTCCAGGGGAGACACTGCCCCTTTGGGGCTCTGCATACACACCATACACACACATTCAAGTAAAAGCACACATACAGAGATAATAAATAAAAATTAAAGAATCCAGGTATCTTCAATAATAGACGTTCAAGGAATGTACAAACATGCATTTCTTTTATTAGCCTTAAATGTCACATCTAAATCAACCCCACCTTCCCAAGACACAGGGCACATCTCAAGGATGAGGAGGCAGAAAGAATGTGATGTGACAGCCAGAGGAAGCGGAGGAGTGTGGGAAATGCCGGCTTCTGCACACAATGTGGCTGTTGTAGCTACCTGTATAAGATCAAGCCAGTCAAAAGTCCAACATGGGTGGGGGAAGGGTACGCCAGAATCCACACCCAACAAAGGACCTATTGGCTGCTGGCCGCAGGGGAACAATAGGGCCATTTGTCCTTGGGGATATGGGCACTGGCAGGTTGACCACTGGTGTGGGAAGTCTTTCTGTATATGTACTGCTTTTATTGGTTAATAAAGAAGCTGCTTTGGGCCAATGGCTTAACAGAGTAAAGCTAGGCTGAAAAAAATACAGAGAGAGTAGGTGGAGTCAGGAAGAAGCTACATAGTCCCACCAGAGACAGATGCCGGAACAAACTTTACACAGTAAACCCCAGTCACATGGCAATACACAGATTAATAGAAATAGGTTAATTTAAGATATAAGAGTTAGCCAGAAATACCCTTAAGCTATTGGTCAAACAGTATTGTAGAGGCCCAAAGAGGCCAAAGGTCAGAGAGTTTGGGACTTGTTTCTAGTTCATTCAAGGTTATTGTGCTCAAACAAAGGTCCCACCTGAAGACGCAGTGCGATCGGTAATTAAAGGTCCCCAGACTATCTTACAAAAGATACAGCTTTAATAAAACAGAAGGAAAGACTTACACCAGAATCCCAACCGTCCAGAAAGCTGGATCCAGGTCAGAGCGAGAGAAGGGGGGGGGGGGGGGGGGATGCACCCTCCAGGTTTATAGGTAAACTTTTGCCTTAGGGCAACATGCCCCACAGACAGAATGTGATTGGCTGAACTTCCCTATCATCTCCCCCTTTTTTCTAAAATAAGACAGAACAAAACCAAATACCATTATATATAATAGAAACAAATAATAAATATAAAATTACAAACAACAAATAATATTAAGCAAGAAGCATATAACAAAAGTTTTATTAAACATTTTATTTTAAGGAGTCTAAATAATGTAGAGGGTAACTACAACTATCTAATCTTCAACTCCATCAAAGATCTGAGAAGGGAAATAATCTTACTCAAGCAGCCCGGAAGTACAAGCAGGAAACTTCCGAAATGTGCAACGAATGGAAGAGACAACTGAATACCTGGGCAATCACCCAAAGTCTCTTTTGCAATGTTGAGTCTACCAACTTTGGCTAAGGCCTGATGTAACTGACATGCCATTTTTTTGAAGGCAAGAAATCTTTTAGGACTCTCTCATCCTGTCTTGGCAAGATAAGACAATCCTGCTTTTATCCATTTACGGATATTTTGTAATTCTGTCAGTGGTTGAGGTACGGGCTTTTTCTTTGCCCAAAGGCCAGTTCTGTCAGGAAGAAGACAAGCTCCAAGTGGAGTGCCTTTGGTGTTCAACGCTCTCGGGAGTAGAGCGGTGATGCCAGGAGTGATTGTGTCTCACTACTCTAGAACTATGAGTTAGATTAAAGGCCATTTTCCACAGCTCTTCGAAGAGGTTGAAGATTATACTATCTATACTAAGTATGATCTCTATGCACCTAAATAACCTGATTAGCCTAAATATAAATATAACAAACATATATGACTATTGATTTATATCTATCTAACTTGAAGACTAAGGGAATGAACAATTGTGCAATGAGTAAGGACAATGACCTCCAAATGTAAACAATGTATATCATTACATAAATATCTTAATCAGAGGTAGAAATGTAAATATATGTATACATATCAATACAAATAGAGGTAGAAGCATACTCACATACAATATTCAATATATCAATGTACAAGAATCAACACCAATATAATTTTCTAAAAACAATAACTCACAAATAGCAATATATTATTATCCCATCACCAATCAATCCCCCCCCCCTTTTTGTGGGTCTTCTGTCTATGTGTTATTTTCATTGGTTAATAAAGAGTCTGCCTTGGCCCTTTGATAGGACAGAAAATCAGGTAGGCGGAGTAAACAGAACAGAATGCTAGAAAGAGGGCAATGAGGCAGACGCCATGGAGCCAGCCACCAGGTCAGACATGCTGAATCTTTCCCGGTAAGCCACACCTCGTGGTGCTACACAGATTATTAGAAATGGGTTAATCAAGATGTGAGAGTTAGCCAGTAACTAACTCTCTAGAGATAATGGGCCAGGCAAGGCAGTGTTTAAATGAATACAATTTGTGTGTTGTTATTTCCGGGGCTAAGCTAGCCATGCGGGAGGGAGCCGGGCGGGACAAAAAGCAGGTCTGCCCGCCCCTTCTTGTTACACCCACCTAGTTGTAAATCACAGTTCTGCTCTCTTAAAGCCATTGTCAACAGCTGTGACCAGACCTTGTGCTCCTGAAATAGGGAAGTAGTTGGTTCCTACCTAAAACCAAAGTCTAAGGATCCAACTAAGTTCCAGTTCCCTTAATGGAAATTGTAATGGATTAAGTAAAATGCTA